ATAATAAATAGATGAAGGATGTGGATGTTGATATAGTAAGAGAATTGTGGCTTGGATATTATTTGTTTTCCTTAACTCTTGTGTTCTATTCAACTCTTGGGTAATGTTGAATGGTTGTTGATGGAATAAGATATGAATGAATTGTTAATTGTGCATGTGTCCGGGTAAGAGTCGGTTTTCCAAATGTGGTGTTGTGTTGGTACCTGCGCGGGGAGTTTAAAAAGGTGCCCAAATACCTTGTCTAGGCTTATCGTTGGATGAATGTGAGAAAAATATTTTTGGGTGTCCACACAGTCCTGCCGTATGATAGCCGACAAAAGTGAAAAAACGGATGGTTTTCTTTGGGGTGCCCACTCCCTGCCATATAATAGCCGGCAAATGTGGGGGGTGGTTTTAAAAACAAAAGTAAAGGGTGTTTTAAATTGGACTCTTACAGGTGGACTCATGGTTTGCGTTCTATGGTTGTAAATGTTTGACTGTTGTGCTTGATGACATGAATAGTCACTGTTATTATTTGGTTGTCATGGATCTGTATGTTTGTTAAGGAATACATGTCAAGATAAATTTTCATGTAATGTTTGGTCACAAAGATACTATAATCTTATTCAAAGGATTAAATACTTGGTTAAATGTGTTCCTACTGGGCATATAGCTCAACCCTATCTTATCTTTTTCAGGACATGATGGAGTTCCACCTCCCTGAAGGGTTGGTCAAGCAATAGCTCCTTTTTGGAAAAGTTGCTCCATGTGTATTTTGTTATTTTGAATTGAAGTTTTTGTAACAAGACTATTAATTTATTTGGTTGTAATTGTACGCCCTAGAGGCTTATATTTTGTATGGCCACTTAGTTCATTATATCGGAATACGAATTCTAAACATTATGGGAATGTATCTGGTGAATTGTAACCTCTTATCTCTTAGTTCAATGAGAAGGTGGACTTTTTGGGTATTTTGTTGTATTTGTTTGGGCGTATTCTTGTGGGAAAATTTCAAGGCATTACAGATTGGGCCAAAGGCTATTTGACATGAATGATTGGGCCAAAGGCCGTTTAACATGAACGAATTGGGCCGAGGCCGTTTGATAAGAAGGAATTGGGTCCGAGACCATTTGATATACTTAGGCTTGAGGCCATTTGATGTATTAGATAGAAACATAAAAGGGCCTAAGGCCGTCTGTTATGTCCATTACGAATTACATTCATGTAACTTCCTTATTTTGATGTTATTTGGTGGGCTTTCGCTCATTCTCATTTATATGTATTTAGGTGAGCAAAGAGATGTCCAAACCCATCCTCAGTGAAAAAAGTGAGAGGAAGTCAAGTGTCATGACCCGAACCTGCCCCAATGGGTTAAGGGCATAACCGGCCAGTAATCAAGTGATTACCTACGACCTCAAACCAAAACAAATATATTTTAACAGAGTAAAGGGGTCAAACGGAAGCAATTTAAAACTTTGTCCATAGAGCTGTGCTTATATGCACACCATAACATTTCACATAGGTATTCATCAATAACTCACATCAAAGGAAAGTTAAAATACAAACTGTACATACAGGATCATTTAAGTCTAAGTCAGTCAAACCCAAAGTCTATATACAAAAATAATCCAGCGTTTTCGCCAACATAACAAAACTATGACAAAAGAACAAAAAAGGCGAAGACGAGTCTCGTGCGTAAGACGTTTGGGCTGACTCCTCAAAACCTTGACTGTTTTACGTAAACTTCACTAAGGCTGGGTTTGGACCTCCCTTGGCTCACCTACAGACACATGAATGAGTGTGAGCGAAAGCCCAGTGAATAATATCAAATAAAGAAGATACATGAACAATATTTAGAACAACATACACCAAACGGCCTTGGGCCCAATTCATATTTCTATCTAGTAGATATACATATATCTATAGGTCAAGTAACTGCGGTTCCAAATACATCAGAACGGCCTTTGGCCCATTCATTTTTCCATTCATGTCAGACTGGCCTTTGGCCCATTCGTTCTTTCATTCATATCATACTAGCCTCTGGCCCATTCATTCTTTCATTTATGTCAGACTGGCCTTTGGCCCATTCATTCTTTCATTCATGTCAGACTGGCCTTTGGCCCATTCATTAGGCATAACAAACATTTGTCCACCATTCAAATTAATGAACTTATGAGACTTACATAGAGGTACGCAATTGGACAAATAACATACTTCAGATATCTTTATTAAGATATTACTCACAGTGTTCTGCCGGTAGATTTACCCTTGAGCTTGACCCTACACATCACATAACACATATGGGTCACAAACAATTCAATCTGTCCTTAATTCATACACCCCTCTTAGGCTTCTTTCTTATTCTTTTAATTCATTCGCAATGCTCAATGCATGCCTAAGAGTACTTAGAAGTGAAAGAGAACGGAAAATGAAACACAGAACCCTTTTACAAAATTTCTGAAACAAGGGGTCCCCGCTTGAGCGTGGACTTTCCCGCTCGAGCGGATCCATTAGGTCTGCAAAAGTACTGGTTGCCTCATTTTTACGCTCGAGCGTGAATTTGGTCGTTCGAGCTGAAAGTCTCACTACATGGCTCCCCGCTTGAGCGTGAATCTCCCCGCTCGAGCGGACATTCATCTCTGCAAAACTTCTGGGAGTCCGCATTTCACGCTCGAGCAACGATTCCCCTGCTCGAGCGGACATCATGAATTCTGGGTTTTCCAGAATTGTTCTACAAGTTCAAATTCGACCTCCAAAGGTCCAAAACCCACAATTTTGGTTTTAAAACATGCAATTACAATATATATCACGAGTATACAAGCAAGATGAGGTCAATTGCTCAAAATCATGGCCCAATTCTTCAAAATAAATCAACATTCCTTTAGGATAATTAAGGCTCATGCATTCAACCCTCATATAAGCTTCATATCTTCCATAATTAAACATGCATGTCAATTTTTGACCTCATTTCCATTTCAAATAGCACCAATGATGCTCATAAACATGAAAATCAACAAAACCATGCTTGCATGCATGCTTCAATGCTCAATCTTTCATAATTCACATATTACATGCTAGATTACGTAATTTTCATAGGAATTCTCTACATGCATGCACACATAGACTTCAATCTTAACTTAATCAACTCAACTCATTATCTAACTCACCATTTAATCTTCAATTCACAAAATATGGTGATTTGTATGTGGTGAGGTTGGATGGGAGTGGGTTGCAGAGGTTGACTTGTAATTGGTATGAGAATGGCACGCCAGCGTGGCACCAGAGGGATGAGTTGCTGGATACGGGACGGTTGGGCTTGGGATGCGAGGTTGGAGATAAGTTGCAGGGTCAATTCGATGAGCCGCTCTGGATCCGTTGTGATTTTTAATTCCAACACCAATGAATTCAGGTAGTTAGAAAAATGAACTTCTATATCATTTTTTTTAGAAAAATTATAATAGCGTTTGATAGAGTTCTAAAATTACAATTTAATAATAGAGTTGTATTTTGAGTTTGTAAATTTTTGATTTATAATTTGAGTGTAAAAAATTTATTTGGTTATGAGTTTTAAAATTTTTGATATGACATATGATATTTGATTCAAAAATTAAAAATTCATAACCAAGCATACAACTTAAAATTCTATTCAAAGCACACAAAAAAAAAATTTAAAAATTTAAAAAATATTTTTTATTTAAAATATAAAAATAACAGGTGCAAAAAAAAAAAAAAAAAAGACACTACTCCGGTCAACCAGCCAGACGTCTAGGGAACTTCCGGAAGGATGACCGGATAGATGTGTTTGCAAAAGTAGATGCGGAATCAATTTTTAAAAACTGTAACCAAACACCACACTCAAACCACCAAACAGAGCCTATTATGTGTTTGGTTTGTGTTTTGAGATAAATTTTCAAAAAAAAATTTGGAGAGAGAGTTTAGAAATTTGTTTGGTTTGTTTTTGTATATTTTGAAAATAGTTTTAGAGTTTGTGAGTTTGTGATGATTTGATATTTTGTTGTAGTTGAATAAATATACGTGAAAGAAAAAGTGATTGAGAATGAGAGAGGAGAAAGAAAAAATGATTGATTGATGTATAGGAGAGAGAAAGTGATTTTGAAAAAAAAAATTCAAAAATTTTCAACCAAACAAAATTTTTAAATTTTTTTTTTTTAAATTGTGTTTGAAGAGTTAAACCGAACAAGGTGGATATGTTTCTAGTTGTTTTTTAGTGTCTACTAGAGAAGCTCGACATACAAGTGTAATCACAAGAGTTTAATTTCTTGATATTTTTCTAAAATGCTTTGTGCTGCTCTGCCATCGAATTTCTCAATTTTCTAAGTAATTTTTCTAAAGCCTGACATTACAAGTTGCTGGTGTTTTGAAAGGCTGGATATTAATTGGGCTTTCAATTAGTGTAACTTCATGAGTCAACACTCACGATGCTTAATATTATTGGCTATGCTATCGGTACATTTGTCATTTCAAATTAATCTGGCAGATTTAAACTAATAACCTTAATGCACATTAAAACTAGCTTGTTTCCTTCCATAGCTTTGTGTTTATGCCTCTCAACTTCTTGTCGAATGTATTCCAAAAAGAGCAGTTAAGATCAATCTGTTAAAACAATTTCTGTACCTTTATCTTCTCCTTTTACTAGTTATATCTGTATGTTTCATTTGTTAAGAACCTCCTTTTCCTTAGTCGCCAGAAGTTTGTGCCTGTAACAATTCTAAGGTTTGATGCACTATTATAACCCTCATGCTGCGTTTCCAATGCATTTACGTTGTAGTTTTTGCGTCTGCTATTAATGTTACTACGTATTACTGAGAAGTTGGGGGTGCTGGTTTAGTGGTTGAAACAGCCTATTAACTCTAAGATGTAAGTTCGAACCTGAGGGCAGCCACTTTGTACAAATATTGCCAAAAAAATGTTTGGTTTGTACCCGACCTACCTCAGACTCCCATCCAAGGTGGTATAAACTAAGAACAAATATTTAGTGCAATGGTGACGTTACCCTATGTGGTAAAACTACTAACCCAACTATGTGGGCCTCACCTCCGCAATGTGAGATATATTATTGATTGGTGATACTACAACGTGATATCACTGTTATACCCAGTACTTACTCCTAAACTGGGTGTACTTATTACTGAAAAGTTGCCTGAGTTTGGAGAAACCGTCTCATCTTGTATGCTATGACTATGCAACCAGTGTTAGTGGCAGCTATATTTTGGTCCTACCGTTATGATGATCTTTTTTTAGCATGACAAGCCAGTTGGATTTATCTCAAAAGCCTATTTGGAAAAAGTTGTTAGCATGACTTTTTCATTCACAAAATTGATATGACATGATATGGTTTCATAGTCGTTTCATGTTGATATTCATGCACTTTTTGATTGATCAAAGCCTCAAGTTAACAAATTACTGAAGGAGATCTCCTAAATATGATAAATTGGACTGTCTTAGGCTGCTTTAGCAAAGTTTTTTTGTTGTTCCACCACCAACTGCTGATGGTTCTTATCCTCTCTTCTTTGCCAACCTTCAGATCTTTGGCAAAGAAGTGCTTTCTAACCTCTTACTGCAAGCCAGCAAACCAATAAGTGACAAGGATCTTGAATAATGACTCTTCAATTCTTCATCCCTCTCCCTTTCCTTTTAAAAATATAAGGGCATTGTATCTTCTGTTTTTTTCTTTTTTGTTTCCTTATCAGGTTTGGGACAAAAGGTTTGTGACTTTGGGTTCTTTTCAAATAATGCAGGACCAGAGGATGGACAAGAAGTCATCAGATCAATATGTACCTGACAGCAGCAATAATAGTGCGGATGGAGGAAAGAATGGATGGAATAGCTCTGCTTCTGATATTACTGGGGATGAAGGAGGCACCTCTAATTCCTCCCTTGACGCTTTTTTTTAGTTAGAGAGATTTAGGGAAGGATTTGAAAAGGAAAGGAAAAAGATGTGTAAATTAGATGAAATGTAGGTATATTTTATTCACATTTCACTTATCTTTTCAAATTTCTTCTCAAATCCTCCAACCAAACACAGTATGAGACTGTCTCATCTAGGAAGAAGCCAACTGGGCAGTCACTCAGAATGACAGATGATTATATACTTCAGAGATACGCTTTTACAAAGGAAAGGATTGAAGTATACCCAGTTTTTATCCTGAAGAATCATCATTCTTTGTGGAGAAACTCACTAGATCATAATTTGTGGTGTGACTAATTGTGAAGACTTAATTTTAGTTTGAGCATGCTGTATGAAGATGTCGTCATTCTTTGTGGAGAATCTCACTAGATCATAATTTGTGGTGTGACTAATTGTAAAGACTTAATTTTAGTTTGAGCATGTATATCAATTGCTTTGTTATAGGCTCCTTTGGTTTTGTGGCAGAGTTGTGTTGATGTAATGTAAAATCAAAAGGAATGCAGCCACGTAGGGAGAATCAATTCGCGAGCTCTGTAGATGGGGGGATGGTCCATTTTTGGGGCTGCCTTGAGTGAAATGGATGTTTTCCATTGGCAGAAGGCCGCTCACGCCTTGTCCTTTTGAGAGAAAAATCCAAAGATACATTCAGTGTTTTTTGTTTGAGTTTTTTGAATTAAGTTTTTTAAAAATTGAGTTTTTTAATTTTTGTGTTTTTTTGTTTTTAATGAATATTTTTAAAATTTTAAACATTTTTTTACTTTTTTAGATGCACCGTATTTAGATGTATCGTATCTAAAAAGTAAAAAATTTGTGAAAAAATATTTTTAAAAATTAATAAATACATAAAAATACAAAAAAAAATGTACTGAATTCTCATATTTTTTTTGTATTTTTGGTATTTAATGAATTTTTAAAAGGTTTTTTTTAATTTTTTTTTACTTTTTAGGTATATTTATGTTAGGTATGTCTAAAAATTAAAAAAATTGCTCAAAATATTAAAAAATTCAATAAAAATAAAAAAAATACAAAAAATAAGAAATAGAATTTTCTAAAAAGTGTTTTTGAAAAATGAAAACAAAGCATATTGTTTTTTGAGAATTATTATTGTACAGATTGACCAAGTAGAGGAGATAAATTATTGTTTATTTTGTTACAATTTTATGGGACTGTGTTGTACCCACCAAGGATCCTCTAGAGTGAAATTTTCTTAAAGTTTTCTAGAGTGCTACATTGTGTGGTTGAGATTTACTGGCAAGTCACATCAGAAAAATTGATGTGACTTGCCAGTAAATCTCAACCACACAATGTAGCACTCTAGGAAACTTTAGGAAAAAATCACTTTAGAGGATCCTTGCTCGTGTTGTACCTGCTTGTCACTTTTTTTTTTTTTTTCTTTCTTTTGTTTTTTGGGTAATGATTAAACTTGACGAGCAATCTTTTTTCTTTGAAAAATGGTCGGTAGCTTAAATTAAACGATTTCATTTTGATACATTTGAATCATTTGGGTGATAAAAATTTGAGTTACCAAGTATTGTTTTTTTTTTTTTTTCTTTTCCATATTAACTAGTATTTTTTTCTTTCCTTTCTGACAAATATCTTTATGGTCAGGCTTCTTTCCAATCCGAGATTAAACTGAAGCATACTGTTCAACTTGTGGGAGCTGATGATCCGAACCGTTCAATGTGTAGAATTTGTCGAGTATTTTATCTCTGTAAAAAATTACACTGATCGGATATTGATAGTTACTTTATCGGATGAAATTTCTATCAACAATAAATATAATTTTCAAAATAAATTGTTGACCAAAAGCCAATCTGATCAAATAGCTATCAATATCCGATCAACTAAATTTTTGGTAGAGATAAAATACTCAACAAACTCTACATATTAAACGGTTTGAATTATCAAAACAGGACCTATATATGGTAAACCTCACAGACCCAATAATATTGTTCAGTCCACAAAATAAATTAGAGACAAGCCTGACCCGGTCTTTATATTAATCATTTGTTTCATACTCAGCATTGCCATTTGGCATCATCAAATATGAATAGGGACAGTTTGCGAAATTCTGTCTAGTAAAATCTCTCAGTGCATTTAAGGATCCCATGGTCATAAATAAGATCACACCATCATTTTTGGTGGGAGATGAAAGAAAATTGCGTAATGCTATATTCCATTAATTTTGGACCTCTAAATTTAATTCTTAATGATATGATAAGCACATATTGAATAATTTTTGTATTTTAGTGAGATTCTTAAGTAACGTGACTTATGACACATCGTTTGTGGTTGGTCTAAGAGTCCAAAATTAATGGTCCAAAGCATTTTACAAAAAGATTATCAAAATCCTATTCTTTTTCTTTTTTTTAATTACCGGGGACAATATATTAAAAACGTACACAAGTCTAGGGTAAGAAACCCCATTAACATCACCATGCAATTGGTTTACCACAGATGGAGGAACATGAAGCAAAAAATGAAAACCCTTTGCAATGGTGTAGCCTAGGTTAGTTATAATATCCACGTCTCTGTTAGTTTTACGGTAGATTGTGATTAATTGTTTGAACTCCCAATCTTCTCATAAGAAACCTACCATCAGAGATGAGATTATAAGACCATCTCCAACCCTGAACCAAACTTAGCATCAAATTTAAAATTTGGTGGAAAAAACACTTTTTCATGCCCCAACAGTTTCACCAAAGTGATATCAAATTGAGAATTCATCAAACAAATCATCAAGTGAGAACATTGTACACATTTCAACAAAACACTGTGCGTGACCATTGGAGGGAGGAACCGGTCAACCAACCGATTGCCCGGCCGGTTGACCAACCGGTCGACCTCTGCGTCAAGGTTGGTGTGAACTGTCAAGTGGTTGGTTTGAACTGCTTGGTTTGAACCGTGGGTGTTGGGAGCAACCGGTCGACCGGGTTGAGTAATTTGACTACAGTTTTGAGGCTAGCAAGAACAAGTTTGAACTGGTTGGTTTCATGTTGTTTGAGCTGGTTTATTTTGACATAGTTTATTTTGTGGATTATGAATAATTTGAAGGGTGATATAAATTTAAATTTTCTTCAAAATATAAATAAAATTGTTACCTTTTACATATATATTTTGACAACTAGCCGTTACAATAATAAATTACTATTGGATGGACAGAGTATTTTGAAAATTTACCGTTGATGATGTGCTTTATAAAATAAATCTGATTTCTATATCAAGACAGAGTATTTCATTTTCAGAATAGCATTACGTTTATATGTTGTGAGTTTTGTTTCTTTTGTGTCATTACATTTTTTTTTTCCTTGAAATTTTAATTACTAGTATCTGAATAAATTATCTGATTCTGAGTTTGAGCTTATATCATTATAATATTTTTCAGTAAGTGTACTGTATTTTTTTCAAAGTATGGAAGATTTCGAAATGTTTGAAGAATCACAAATGTTGGAGCAAAATATTGATATTAATTTTATGTTGGAATCTTCACGAGAGCAGAACACGCAGAACAGTGATAATCATTTTATTTCAGAAACTTCTCGTGTTTCTTGTGGTAAAGCGTTCACAATTATAAAAGATAAAACTTTATGTAGATCTTGGTTAGCAGTCTCTCAAGATCCCATTACTGGTAATAGTCAGACTATGGCTATATTTTGGGAGCGAGTACTTGTTTATTTTAATTCACAATTGAGCAGTGAATCAAATCGAAACCGTATTTCTTTGTCTCACCGTTGGTCTGTCATGCAAAAGGCAATTAATAAATTCTGTGATTTTCTTGAACAAATTCAACTGAAGCAACAAAGTGAAACAACTGAGACAGATATGGTAAAATTTATTTGTATTATTAAATATCAATTTTCTTTTCTAAATGTATAATTGTTATTGAAATCTTTGTAATTTCTTATTTAGGTCACTGAAGCGAAGCGGATATATCATGCAATACAGAAAAAACACTTTACATTTGATACATGTTGGGATATTTTGCGCCGAAGTTGTAAGTGGGATGAATTTCGATCAAAAAGAAGCACGCAACATGCTGATCCATGTTCGAATCTAGCAACTGAATTTGAGGCTTCTCAATCCAACCAGAATAATGCGGTGCACGAACAACGACCTAATACATCAACACGACCAATTGGTACTAAGGCAGCGAAAGAGAAGCTGAAGAATCAAACAACACATGATAGTAGATTTGATGAAATGGCTGCCAACCAATCCAAAATTGTTGAAGTGTTATCAACTATCTCCGCTAGAACTATTGAGAGAGATGAACAAAAGGCGATAGACCGTGAGCAGAAGGCTGCAGAGCGTCGAAGACGGGCCGAAGATAGGGAAGAACAACTAAAACTCCTATATATGATGAATGAAAGAGAACAACGAAATGAAGATCATAAAATAATGTCAATGAACATGACAATTTTAAATCCTATACAAAGGGCGTACTACGAAGATCTTTAACGACATATTTTATTTCGATCAACTAGTAGATTGCCTTGAAAGGTTCTGTATTACTGGATTTCATCTATTAGTTTTATTATTTAAAATTATTACATCTAACTTCTTTTGGTTAGTTTTATTGGTTTTATGAATTTTTGCCATATTTCAAGTTCAATGTCTAATTGTTGCCATGTTTTTTGCATAGGGAGATCTTTGGCTTGTACTTGAATGTGGTTTTCTTTTAATTAACCTCGTCTTCTTTAAAATGATATTTCAAGGGAAGCCAATGACTACTATAACATGATTTATACCACAAAATCATAAATGGTTAATGACCTTTTTGTAGCATTTTCAGAATGTACATAATAATGTCCTTTGTCAAATAGGCATTAAAATGAAAAACCACAATATGAAGTGATAATAACTGCATAGGCCAATGTCATAACTGAATAGGTTTTAATTAATATCGTCCTCTTTAACAAATTGACCCAACAAACTGTAGTTAAAATTTCCAAATACTGAAACTAAAACAAATACATAATGTGAAATACATCAACAGTCATTATGTGGTGGTGGTGGTGGAGGAGGATAGTAGTGATGGTATATGTCATTTACGTGATGCTCAATCGTATCTACGCGATGCTCAATATCTACACAGAATTCACCAAATTGTTGAATTAATGAATTCTGTGCAGCGGCAAATGTATCAAACTAAGAACCCAACGAATTGACCTGATTAGCCATTTGTTGTTCCCATTGAACGCGTTCATTATAACGTTGTTCTTCCATGGCCAAAAACTCAGTCTAATATTGAGGTTGTTCATTTGATGGCATCACATTGACAGGACGATCTTCTGGAGCATCATCTGGTGGGACTTCATCTTCTGAATCGTCTGCAGCATTAACACTTCCCATTAAATTGAAGGCTGCACCAGCACGAGTCACTGTATACTGATTAATGGGTGAGCGGATTTTGATCTCCATTTCATCTACAAGGCGAACCCTGAAATGTTTGAAAATTTTGG